CCCGCCTGGGTGAGGCGGGAGGGAGTGTCAGACTCTTACTGACTAAAAACCACCCCGTTCCTTCTCCTGCACGTCGAGCCGGAGCCCCGGTTACCCGTTAGGTTCTCCGCGACTCCGAATCGGCATCGGCCCTATTGGGCCCCATCTGTGGTGGTCTGATGGCTCTTTGAGGCGCGCGCGGAACGCGACGCGCCGTACGCTCGGGTCTGTTTCTGGTCGGACGGGGAGCCACCCATGCTCGCCGTCCGCAGGCCCGCGCTTACGGTGGCCGGAGATCGTCCCGCGATCCCCGACGCCCGGTGTGTCCTTCGCGATGGCTGGGTTGCGAGGAGGCAGCGCTTCGCTGCCTCACGCGTCCCGCCTCCTCCTTAGCTAGCATGACTGCTTCGCAAAAGGAGGAGACGGCATCCCAATCCCCCTCGCTCCGCATCATGGCCTGCACTAGGCCCGGACGCGAGAGGTCGCCATCGCCGATCACTTCCCTGAGGACACGGCGGTGCTCAGCCCACGAAGGGCATTCTCCCACCGTGTGTTCCACCGTGTCCTCAGGGCGGTCCTCGCAGTGATGACACCCGGGCGTTTCCTCCCGCCCCATCAGACACAGGTACCTCCCGAAACTTCCATGTCCGGTGAGGACCTGCGTCAGGCGGTAGGTGAGGACGCCGTAGCGTCTCTCAAGCCACTCCTCAAAGAGGGGACTTACCGCTGCGATGGCAGCGAGCCCAGAATGTAAGGTATAAGGTACCAGCGTAAAAAAGTTACAATAAGTTAGCTGCAGCGTTTGAATTCAACTCTACATTTGTAGATAATTTTGTTACTAACCAAATCACAAATCACGTAGTTTATATAAACAAAAATAAGGCATAACCTATAATATAGGGTGTTACATTGTACAGTGACATTAAGTGCCGTAATGTACACCTTTGCCTACCCCTTCGGGGATAAAAGGAGTGATGTTATGTTATAATATAGGAATAGGGATAACTACTAAAAATAGGACAATGGGTTGTAGACATAAAAAAACAAATGTTATCTATTATTATTTGACTTGTTTATTACAGAAGGTTTCTGAAGAGGATCCGATTGAAGTTCCAAAAAAAAAGGCCAGGCAAGGTGTCAAGGGTACAAAGGAATAAAGGGCATGATGATATGTTATGTAAACACGGCCAAACAATAGGGTCATGGAATCCTAAAAGAAATGAAATCATATGCTGCCATTATGACAACCAATTGTTTATTTATTATTTGGCATTATAATTGGCGTCTATTATTCGCTTTGGTCAATATTACCTATATCACCCTAAGGTTATAAGTACAGTTCTACCATAAATCCCCAACGTGACTGACGTGTGGGACTTAAAAATTGTAAGTGCTTTTTTATATTTCCTCTGTTTTAAAATAATATCAGTGAGTTCTTCTAGTGGGTTCAACAGTTAGTTCAACTTTAGTAGAATACAACTAGAATATTATTTCATCAGCTGTAACAAGACTGCCGTTAAAATAATATTGAGTAATCACGAAATAAATTCGCGTTGAAGCATCTACGTAATACAGGTAGGTAATTAATTATCAACAATAAAAGAAACGTTGTAAAAACTGCGCGTGGAAAGGTGTAAAAAGTAAATTCAGTTCGGTTGAAATATATTTTAGTTTTCGCACGTGTTTAATAAAATTGATATTATCTTTCGGAAGCCAGTTTTCAAACAAGGCTCAGTAGTGGTGTGTAAATTACGTTACTGACCATGTGCTGTGTAATGTGTAGCAATCCATCGGCAGTAAGGATTGCAAAAGTGTTTCTGTGACAGGTGAACCGATTCCTGCATCCGTGCCCTTTTTTTTTTGCAAAATTACATACGTACGTAATTATAACTGTTCATGGATAAACATATTTTAATTACATCTTAGATAAAAAAAGTACCTTTCTAACTAGGTATCTGTAAAGGGATTTCTCGTGCTACAAGTTTGCGTTATAAGTTTAAAATCATCCTGTGGTACAATAAACTGCTACCATTTCAGTTCCATATGGCAAAAAAATATGTCAAGAGGAAACTGAATGACATAATTCAGAAAGAATCAAGTACTTGAGTCCATTTAAGGCAAGTCGTTCACGTAAATAAAATATTAAATACAATAAAATCAGGAAGTGTTGCGCCGTGGAAAATATTTTACATTGCTCGTAGACGACTGCACGTACAAACGTAACGAAACGCTACGCTATATTGAAATTAAAAATAAACTTGTTAATATGCTTTGGTAGGTACGCTGAGTACCTTACTTATGTACCTACTTTGCCAAGTATATTGTTGTAAAGTTACTACATATCCTTGGAACGGTTTTGCAAAAGCGCGCCACTTTCGATCGCATATCTCTATAGACAATAGAGCGTTTAATATTCGATTCAGGGATTTTGAATTAATTAGGCCTAT